GATTTTATTTATTTTTTCAGTTGTATCCCATTACAAGCACTACAGTAATTTATCTCTATTAACTTTTTTATTACTTAAATATGTCTTCTTTTGATGTTTTTTTAATTGTTAATTGTTTCTAATTGTTAATTGTTGTTCCAGTGTTTAAGTGTTTATGTGATTTGTTCTCACTGGTCTCTTTTTTCCTCTGTAGTTGAAGTGGATGTATCCCTATTGTTTATCAATTATATTTAGACTTTTTACACTCTGGTACATGGGTATGAAGTATTTTAAATTGAACAGAAGACCTGATTATCCTGTTTTATTCAGGTACACATTACAAATACACATTATCCCGATACACCACAATACGAAGTAGGAAAATTCGGAAACACAATAAACACTTCTTACTGTAGATGTGTATGTTGGGGGGTGGTTTGGTGGACCCATTTTAAAAATCTCCTTAGGGCCCCCAAAATCCTTGGGCCAGCCCTGGCATAGATGAACAATTATACTCTAAACTTAATTCGACACTGAAATACGCTAACCTTGTTGAAAACAGCTTGTGATCCAGAGCACACATACTAATAGTCACTTTAACACGAAACAGGAAACTCATGAATATCCATGTTTGCTCTGCTCAGTTCTTCTGGCCCAATAATCCAGGTCGCACGCAATTGCCATTATATGTTTGGTCTAGTACGCAGCTGCCCTCATATTTTAATGCAGGACAGAAATTGTAAGTAAATTTGTCATCTTTGCAGAAATGTAATATGAGGATTTGACAAACTTACATTTATCTTTAGCAACACAGTGAAAGTGAACAGCACATAGAAGACACATACCACTACAAACATATGAATCATCATTTTTCATCATCGAGAGAGGCTGCGCTGCAGTCTTTAGCATCCTTGGTAGTGTGCACACCTCCCATGCCAGCGACCTGGGTTTGAGTCCCACTCGGAACACGAACAAGACGGGGTGGTTAGGACCGGAGGGGTTACACCTGGTGATCATTATGCTTTTGCAAAAGTGGGAAAATATTCAATACTAATTAACTGCAAGGAAAACATATTTATTTTTCTGAGTGTCTCTGAGTGAAGCAATGTAACTTTATCCACTGCTTATCTTCATCCACTGTTCCTTTTGCATCATCAAATTCTTCATGGTTTTATATGTGTTTCTCCACTAATTGTGTAGATATTTCAGATCACATTATCAAGTTGAAAATGTCTTCCACACTCTGCAGTCAATTGCTGAATCAATTAATAAACTTTCACAGATGTCCTTGAACAACATAAGTCATCAATCATGATCGTAAGTGCAGTTAATAGCTTCTTAAATAAATTATTTCAGCACGTTTCTCTCTTCTCAGGTCTTCCTCAGTGAAGTCATTATACTGCAGTATGATTATGAAGACATTGATTTGTTATTGTCCTCTTGCATTTTCGACAAACTATTTTCCAGTTTGACACTGTAAAGCTGCTTTGACACAATCTGTATTGTATAAAGTGCTATATAAATAAAGGTGACTTGACTTGAAAGCATGAGGTCCTGGATCAGACAGATTCACACACTCTTGATCTTCTGTTGAACACTGCTCATGATTGAGGAGCAGAACGATCACATGAGGTCCTGGTTCAGACAGATTCACACACTCTCTCACTGTCTGTGTGATCTGATGATCTGAGATGTTTGTCTGGAGCAGCTGAGGACTGTTGATGAGCATCACATGTCTGTCCTTCAGTCTTCCTCCGACTCTCTCTATAACATCTGGAGGAGCTTCACTGTCAAACGCTGCTCGTCCTAATATGAAGTTTCCCACTCTACTGTTTTCTGACACACTCTTCCCCAGAAGAACAATCCTCAGAGGAGTCACATCACTCACTGAAACACACGAGTAATGTGTTACGACACCAAGAACTGTAGCATTCTACTATCACAGATAGTACACGGTTCTATATAGAACCTGAAAGGGTTCTATCAGGCGCTGCATATTTGGAACTCCTAAAAGGTTCTATAAAGAACCCTTTTTAAGGGTTCAATCAAAAGAACCCTTTAGGGTTCTTTGTAACCAAGAAAAAGTTTCTATATAGAACCCCAATGAACCTTTTTTTCTAAGACTACATACCAGCAGGACTAAATTTGGACTAAAAGTGTTATAGATCAAGCAAAACTGGCCACAAGTGTTGCATGTTGTTACATCATGGTCATCAATATTCTTCTATTGACTTACGGTCCAGAGGTCTTTCTTTGCTCCGTCTTTTCCTGTGAGCAGAACCGTGAATAACTGCTGTGGAAAGACATCCTGTTGGACTGTGGAGAAGACAACATGTGCATCCCAGATCTCAAACTGTCTGCTAAAATGTGAGTCAATGGGTCTGATCAGTACAGTACACACATCAGTACAGTACATGTGTGTGCCATTGAGCAATTGTTTGTGTATTTGTTTTATGTGCAGTGTTCTATCATGCACTCTTAGAAGAAACGGTTCTATATAGAACCTTAAAAGGTTCTATCAGGCGCTTCATATATGGAACCCCTAAAAGGTTCCATATAGAACCCTTTTTAAGGGTTCAATCAAAAGAACCCTTTAGGGTTCTTTGTAACCAAGAAAAAGTTTCTATATAGAACCCCAATGAACCTTTTTTTCTAAGACTACATACCAGCAGGACTAAATTTGGACTAAAAGTGTTATAGATCAAGCAAAACTGGCCACAAGTGTTGCATGTTGTTACATCATGGTCATCAATATTCTTCTATTGACTTACGGTCCAGAGGTCTTTCTTTGCTCCGTCTTTTCCTGTGAGCAGAACCGTGAATAACTGCTGTGGAAATGAAAAGCACTTACATTTGACTCTTGGATATGACACAATAACTAATAGCAACTACAAAACACATTAATGAGTTTTTTTGTTTTAAAAGGTCTGATTTATTGATTCTCTAAAGGAGTTTGCAGGGTTGCCACAGTAAACACACACTTTATGGTCTTTCGATATGCAGAAAACATATTCAGTGTTTCATCAAGTATATGAAGCACATCATTTCAGTACTTAGTAGTGTAATGATTTCAGGTTATATGTTTTATCAGCTTTATTTTACATCTGAGCCTTCAGTTTGATTAACACTATTTAGAAACAGTGTTTGACAATTAATAGGACTCTATGAACACTAGACATCATATAACACAACTTATAGAAACAAATAGGCTGCTTATATTTTACAAACACTCATGAACTGAAACATCAACAGAAACATGACTGACAACGAATGTTTAAATACCTGTATACCCTTTTTTAAAAATACTAAAGTACAATGTAATGTGGAAACTTCTTACTTTAAGTACATTATTAAGTAGACATTTGAATAAATCTTGTCTATCGTTCATCTCACAAAAGGATAGATAAATATCTCTTGTAGTAATTGAACTTCAGATGTTTTTTTATGATCTACATGTATTCATTTAGCAGATGCTCATACTGTATCTGAAGTGTCACTGTATACAACAATCTCACCTGCATATGTCCACATTTTTAAATTCAACTTATTTTTATTTTAAAGCTGTTTTTACTGATGTTCATATTCATTAATAGAGTAATCTCTCACCTCTGCTTTCTCTGCTGGACATGTTGATATTCTGTTCGTTCTTTATTCATGAGTTGATCATCTTCTTCTCTGACTCCTGACATGTGTCTCTTCATCATCCTGTCAGACATAACACTGACTTAATTGACACACACAATATGTGATTTAATGACAAAAGGGATGTGTGAGCAAAATGCAAAAATTATAAAAGCTTTACACTTCATAACAACTGATTGATTGCAATTGTACATTTTGCACTTAAATTATATACAATCTTAGACCCACAATCTTGGATTGAGTTTTTGTTTCTCTGATACATATGAAAGTGAAAGCAACCATTTCTGCCGCTCGTACAGTTATAATTACACTCCTAATATAACTTAAATCACTCGAATCGCTTTTGTAACTGAGTCCATCTGCTTGTTAAAACTGTAAATGCAGAAAGCACAGCAAAATATATATTTTATATGTTCTACAAAACAAATGCAAGCGTTTATTTATTTACTCTCTTACTTACTAACTTATTTACTTACCGGTACGTACTTACTTACGTTTGTTTGGGGAACGTCAATGTTGTTGCTCGTGTTTCTGTACAGACTGGGAAAACTGTAGCACCGCCTGGAGTTCATTCCATGGAAGGAAGGGAATGAGGAGGTAGACAAGATAGTGAAACAGGCTCTTAAGTACACAAATATTGACATACGTCGAGGCAATCAAGAGTGCAAGAAAATATGTTTAAATACCTGAAAAACACAGGAACAATAGATAGAATCTAGATTTTTTTTTCTTTTCTTTTTTTTTTCTTTTCTTTTTTTTTCTCCTTTCTTTCCCTTCTGTATTTCTTTCTTCCAAATTATTCACACTCCACACTCCAGATCAGTAGGTGGCGGTAATGCCCCTCTTCCGCTGGTTTGCCAAACCGCCATAAAACACCAGAAGAAGAAGCGTAAGTTCATGCCATGCTTCGACTCGTCCTGCAGTCGATCAGTAGGTGGCGGTAATGCACCTCTTCCGCTGGTTTGCCAAACCGCCATAAAACACCAGAAGAAGAAGAGTAAGTTCATGCCATGCTTCGACTCGTCCTGCAGTGGATTCTCCGCGAGACGCCACAATAAACTGGAGTTTTCTACGAATTTAACAATTAAATCGTTTTTACGACACACGCGACAATAATAATGTCTGACAACGAAGACAAGTGAGTTCTGAATGCGTCTGTTACAGTTTTTATGAGATATGTACTGTCGTTTAAAGTTAGTGAGTGTGAACACAACAACACGAAGAGATCATTAGAAACCCGTAGTCTGTAAGGAGCTAACGTTTTATTTTAACAGGTTATGCGCTTTCTTGTCTGGATTTAACGTCGTGAGATCGAGCGTGAGCCTTTCGTTTGTTCAGTTATTTATCTGAGGATTCTGTGTTTGATTGTTGCTCAGTTTTGATGACGGAGATTTCGATGATGTTGAAGATGAAGAGCCTCTGGATGATCTGGAGAACGTGGAAGATGTAAGAACAATGTTTTCTGGCAGGTGAACGTGATTTCACCAAGTACAACATGTTCCTGGATCAACATTCCAATCAACCAATCAGAACTGAGGAATAACTTCTCAGGAAATATCTGTTGTAGGCTTACAATCAGGGTTAGGTGCTTCTACACCCTTGTTAATCAGCTATCACTGATTTTAGGAATAAATTATGGGTAGGGTGAGGCTTAGGGGTAGGGATTGGGTTAAGTCTTTGGACAGTAATGTTGATCCAGGAACATGTCTTATTTGGCAAAATCACGGCGACCGTTCTGACAAGCGATCATTGACTAATATAGATCAGAAAGTTTTTTTGTATTAAATGAAGCTTGTTTTGGGACCAGACTTGCTTCCTTGCATTGCCACACTATGGGTGATTGTTGTATTGCATGTGAGTTTCAGCACTTTTAATGAAAACAAAGCAGTTTTTATAGTTTTTCAACTCAGAATCCCAATCCCACTTGGGATGATTAGGTGCATGTTATAGATCCATTAAAAAATGCTTTTTTTGACATCATATTAATGACAAATAAATCTATTCAGACCCCTAACATTCATTATTGTAATGCAGAAATTGTATAATAAGAATATAACAGGTTAGTATTTCTAGTACATATTTTATAAATGATTCTCAATGTGTCTTATTGACATCTGGTAAGTATTTGTAGTGAAAGTAGTTTAGTCTCAGTAGTTTTTCAGCTCATAATCTCAATTTCGGTTTGATTGTTGAAGTGCATCAGTGTCAGACTCTCCTGACAGTCTTATCTCTCTGTGTTGTTTGTTTCTCATCTGTGTGTGTGTTTGCAGGAGGATCAGGAGAATGTCCAGATCCTGCCGGTAGGTGAAGGACAGCAGGCCAATCAGAAGAGAATCACCACTCCTTACATGACCAAATACGAGCGAGTGCTGGGAACACGAGCGCTGCAGATCGCGTGAGTGACCTCGGACCCTTCAAACACAACATAGGCTTCAGTTTTGAAGCGAACACTATACAGCCGAGTGCATAGCCTTTCAGAGTAAACTCCATTTGATAGCATGGACACATGCACACCAGAATATTTCATCCCTGTTTAGTGTCTGCGCTGTTTCTCTCTTGATGTTACGAGTGATAAAAATGTCATTGCAATCTTCTCAACTGGAGTTCAAATAGAGTCTCTGAATTGCTTGTCAGTGCAGCCGTCTGATTATGTTGCATCTCCAGTAGTTTGTGTGTTTGTTTGTTCTGTCTCTCCTGTTTGTTTTTTTTGACTAAATCAATGGTTTGGTCCAGTATTGCCACCTTACAATTCTGATGATGAAATTTATATCACACACTGTACACAAACCCTAAGTTCAAATTCAAAGTTTAAATTTATTTCTAAAGCACTGAATAAAACAACAACATTGACCCATAGTGCTGTACAAACAGTAACACAATGAGCAGAATAGGCTTGCTGCGATAGACGGTGCTGACAGTGATACTGTTGTTAAGCCGCAACACAGGTTACGTCACTTGCCCACCGCGTCACCGACCTCCACCGTCATTTTGATTTTTTTATAGTAATAAAAATAATTTAATTCAGTAAAAGAAGGTGTATGCCGTGCCTCCAAGCTTTCTTACTCGTTTTGCTAATAAACGTTCTACTTTCTTATTTATTTGGTTATATATTATACATGTTTACTTGTTTCCAGTTTTGTACATTTAAACTTTATGTAAGTTATCTGTTATTTTATATAAGGCATAGCCTGCCCTATAGCATGGTGTATTTTTGTTTTGTTAATAAAAGTTCTATGTTTTATGTATAGTCTAAAGTGAGTTTGACGTTGTATTTTGTTGTTGCATTCAAGCAATTGACGCCGAACTGCCGCTAATTCGAAAGTGAAAATAAAATGCACATGGCGCTTTTAAGCTATTTAAAAGCGACGGAAAGCGAGAAAAAGAGAGAAAATTCAAACGAACAATTGCTTTACGCCGAATTGCCACTGTTTGAAAGTGAAAGTAAAATGGACACGCCACTTTAACAAACTATTTAAAAGCAAAGGAAAGTGCGGAAAAGAGGGAACGCCCCCGCCCCTGCGGTGATACCGGTATTACCGGTGTTGTCACATGTCGATTAACCTTCGCACTTATCTTTGATCGAACGCTATCATAAAAAAGTATGTTATCAAATGGCTTTTAAACTGACCGAGCGTCTGTACGTCCCTAATATATAGCGGCAGACTGTTCCATAATTAAGGGGCGGCGACCGCAAACGTGCGATCCCCTCTTAGATTTTATCTTGGACTGAGGAACAACAAGAAGTTTCTGTGATTGGGATCGTAGGGATCTCGTTGGCTTTTGTTCCTGAATTAGATCAGCAATATAAGATGGAGTTAAACCATGTAGAGATTTAAATACAAGTAATACAATTTTAAAAGGAATCCTCAAAGAAACGGGCAACCAGTGCAATGATTTTAACACCGGGGTAATATGATCTAATTTACAAGTGCCTGTGAGCACTCTCGCAGACACATTTTGGACCATCTGCAATCTGTCTAAAACTTTTTGAGCACCATAATATAGCGACACACGCACACACAGTATTCATTCATGTTTTCTGGTTTTGTTTTCGTAATCTTTTTTAGTATCAGTCATGGTAGTACTTAAACTTATTTTAATTTCAGTTGCAACGTTGCTGCAAAGGCAGCATTTCTAATTTACATTTAGTTTGCTTTTCATCTAATATTTACATTTTATTTCAGTTAACAAAAATGTTTTAATTGTTTTATTTCTACAGTTTTTTTTTTTTTAACCATAAAAACGTTGTACGCACAAAAGCCAAGTCAATTTATTTGTATAGCACTTTTTACAAGAAACATTGTTTCAGCTTTATATTTTTGTTTTTATTATTATTATTTATAAGGACTATACACATTAATTAACATTTCTGTAAATGTGCCAGTATTCATAACATTTTAATAATATAGTAATGCCTCAAAGTCACATTAAGCTTAGAGCTGGACGAGAATATAGTTCATTTGGAGACTATATAAATTATCAGCCAGTTGAGATTTGCAATGCGTACTAATAAATGCTCCATTAATCGTCAGTGATATCACTTCCTGTGTGACAGGATGTGTGCGCCGGTGATGGTGGAGCTGGAAGGAGAGACGGATCCACTGCAGATCGCCATGAAAGAGCTCAAGTATGACAAAACGCATGTTGTTACACTACTGATATATTTAAGTTTTGATTATTCATGATTTACTTATGTAATTACAGACATTTAAATAATGGTATGTTCTTTAATAAAAACAATACTTTTCTATGGGGGAAAAATATATTTTGTTTTACTTCTTGATTTTAATTTAAACTTAGATTATAGAGTAAAATTATTTTAACAGCGTATAGACAAAAGCTCTGACACATTCTCAGAATGTGTGTTCTTCTGTGTGGTATGTGTTTTAATGTTGTTTGTGTGTTGATCAGGAGCAGGAAGATCCCCATCATTATCCGTCGGTATCTGCCGGATGGGAGTTATGAGGACTGGGGCTGTGACGAGCTCATCATTACTGACTGAGAATCTCACACACACACATCCACACTCAGATCCGCATCAGATCTGTGTGTCACAGCAGTGTTTACAGTACACATCTCAAGTGTTCTGCACTAGGGCTTTATATTTCATCCAGCAGTTCATGTGTTTGTCCACAGGAGGGCAGCAGAAACACGACAAACACCTAGCGCAAAGAGGAAGAGTTCACTCTCAATTAAATTATTTAATGTTCATTCCTTTGTTTTATTCATGCAATATTAAACTTTTTTTGTAGAAAATTATATGCTTTTCTCTTTATTGTTGTGAAACAATGTGGCATTATCTGTAGATTCATACTGCATGAGTTTAAAGCTGTTGAATAAAACGGCAAATACAAATTAATTTACAGCTGTTCGTTACAATAGTTTGTAAAAACGGGGGAGTTAAAATGTAGAGTTATGTTTTTTTAATAATACTAATAAAGTGGTGTAAACTGTAAAAGTACCAAAGGAAGGAAAACGTTTAATAAACATTCCACGTGTATTTTTTCCCCTAGTCAGAACGTTATTGAAATGACCCTTGATTCAGAAATAAAACATTTTTCTTGAAAATTAAGTCTGATAAAGTTCGCGCCATGAAAAATGTTTCGCGGGATTTGATTCGAATTTATCAGCGATAACGAGCCGTTTCCACTTAACTGACGCACGAACGGCGGGATCTAAATGTAAATATTATTTGCACGGGTTAAACGTTTCTGAATTCACCTTTTGAGGTGAAACTACTTTCCTGGGTGGATGAACTTCTGCTGGTGTCATTCCTGTGGATGGAGTAAACGGTAAGCGTATGAAATCACATAAAGGCTACTCCCAGAGTAAGTACTTACTTTGAATAAACGATTAGCCACCGTTACAAACGCACGTTCTACAGTATTAATGTGTGTAATGTATATGGATGTATTCTGGGTATATTCGCCATGTTATCATTGTCACACTGTAAAAAAAATTCCGTAAAATTACTGTAGCATTTTTACAGTCTTTTACCGTTAAATTCACGGTCATTTTTTACAGTGCATGTTACCTACGGTGTGTTGTGTCACTGTCATTCATAAATCCTCTTCCATTGCTAGGGTTGCCAACTTCAGAAAAGGAAAATAAGGGACAGTCGTGACTTATTATAGAAAAATAAGGGACATTAAAAATATGGACAGCTTGATACTTTATTGGTCATTTTGTATTTCAAGAATGGGGTCCAAGGTTAAGAATACATTACAAGTTAAATGTAAAAAAAAAAAATCACTATTTAACAACGTTTACAGTGAAAGACAACTTCCCGTTATAATCACGTCTTCCTTCAGGTAGATTGCATGTTTTCTTGCATGGCTGGATGTTGGAACCTTGAACGATAATCAGGTTGTTTGCATTCGCCCAAACGGATCTTAATTATATTTATTATTAAGTTGGAGTTGGTTTTGTATGGTCTAGGTCAGGGGTGGGCAAACTTGCCCCTTCCAGGCCACTTTCCTTCAGAGGTTAGCTCCAACCCTAATCAAACACACCTGAACCAGCTAATCATTGTCTTCAAGACTACTAGAAGGCTACAGGCAGGTGAGTCATATCAGGGTTGGATCAAATCTCTGCAGGAAAGTTGCCTGGAAGGGCCAAGTTTGCCCATCACTGGTCTAGGTGGTCATGTCGTATATGGGACAAACTGCGTTCAGCATGACTTTCATACAGAATGCTTCTTTGATCCCTTAAATGCATTTGGCAACCCTATACATGCAGAGCAGGACTTAGGGGGCCGGGGGCCCCTGGGCTTGAGGTTATGTTTGGGCCCCATACCTAGGGTGAATTCGGGTAATCTGGGACATTTTTTGCAATTTTGACTCCTGCGATTTATTTCGATATCTATCTAACACATTAGATCAGCACATTAAACTTTTCTGAAATCCCTAAGATGCTTTCTAACCACACCAGAAGAAAGAATGAAGATATTATACCCAGAGGAGACATGCCACTCCTGTTAGTGTTTTTGTGGCAAAAAAATAAAAATTCTGCCTGAATTTGATCATCTGCAGGTCACTTTGTAATCTGGGACATATGTATTAGGCCTAAAAAAGCCTATATTCACCATACTTTATGCATGCCAAACACAATATCACCAATTTTTTTAAAAAGCATTATGAAATAAAATGGCAAGTGCAGAAATCTCAATAAGAAAATGTATATTCCAATATCATGAAAGATAATTTCTATCTATACACAGGATTAATGATCTACTGTTAATTCATTTAAATTCATAGCTGACTAATGACTGTGGGTGTGTGTGAGCGTGTGTGTGTTTGTGTACAGAACATTGTCAACTGGCCTGGGCGCAGATCCCCCTCATGCTCAGTGATTTGAACTGCTGTATACTAAACTTACTGGGAATTTAGGAAAAGAAATTAACGTTTACTTCATCCTGATACCTTTGCTTGCTATTGGAATATGTTTCCCAGATTCCATCTCTGTAGCATCTCTCTAGCTAGCTGGTTTAGCTAGCTGCTAGCTACTGTGAACTTATGCTAATGTTATAACCTCCAGTAGTCCATATTAACACCCATTTCTCATTATGGCACATATTATCCCTTATCATTAGACGTATAAAGTCCCTAAATGCATATTTCCTCCATTTGAAGACTGTCCCAGATTACCCAAAACATGCTGTCCCACATTCTCAATCATATTTGATAATGTGGGACAACAAAAAATGTTTGAAAGAAAAAAAAAAAACTAAAACACATCT